ACGGGCTAATTCTCCCTCAAGTCCATGACAGCATGTATGGATTTTTGTTTTTATTATGTTTTGGTTTGGTTCGGGACAGTTTAAAACATTCATTCGGTTTAATTAATATTTCAAAATTGTTGTCCCACTTGTCTCTGCGTGGCCCTGTTGATAACATGTTCTCACACAAATATACTGTATATTTCAAAGCCCCTGTAAACAAGACAGAAATATCTAGGTGTAATAAAAATGTTGAATGTTGTAATAATAAGTATTTAATTTAATCACATTATTATAAATTAGTGGTACTTAATGAGGTCTGTTTGTGTGAGAGATAAAGGTTAAAAAATATAGTAAGTCATTGGTAAATTTGCAGTTATGTCTATATTTTTATATTTATTTATTTATATTTCTGCTACCTTTCATTTTATGTGATATGTAGTTTTTTTGTATGTGAATTTGTTTTGTTTTTAAATAAAATAAATAAATAAATTATAATTTACTTATTTTCTTTAATACCTTCTACTTATGGTTTCAGTCTGGCACACACAGTACTTTTAGTTACATTTACTCAATAGATGTAGTACTTCTGCTTAAATATTTCATTCAGATGTAATTGAAATGATCACGTACATTTACTTATTACTCCTGTTTTCCTATAAACAAATTGAAACTTTTCAAATAAACTGATTTAAGTGTAAAAACGTTATACTAATTAATGAGGTAATATGCAGTACTTTTTACAGCCTAACATTTTACTCACCTCTTACCAAATGTCCGGAGATGTGCACCAGCCCATGACCCTGAACAGGAACAAACAGCTTTAAAAAATGAACAGACTTTTTATGAGGGGAAAAACAAAAGTATTATTTTCAAAGACATTTTGGAGTTTACAGCCCTACTGGACACTTATTTTTTTAAATAGTTTGAATATAAATAGTTTAGAAGTCTAGTTATGTTGAATTTTTTGAAGGATTTACCTGGATGACTGAGAATCTACACCAAATACTTGAGCAAAAATACTTTTATTATGACCTAAGCATTTTTAATTACATTTTGTTTTTATTAATTGCCATTCACAAGCAGGTTAGCATTTATAAAAAGCTTTAAGACCTGAGGAGATACTCTACTGATTATTGTCAAAGTCACAAGTTATAATAATCCTTTGTTTAGGTTCAGTAACCATGCTGAAAGGAAATTAGGTGTGTTCGTTTACCTTAATACGTGTTCGTAACCAGATAGGGAATACACCAATTCTTGAATGTTTGAATGTGAAAAGAGTTATACTGTACAACCACACCACAGCGCTGGTTTGAACCATGTTTTTCTTTCTCCATGCATTCAGCAAAGGATTCAGGAAACAATGATACTTTTACAACCTACGGCTGAAATCAGGTTCTCTATGCATTTTTTCCTTTCTAGTGTTAAAACAACAAAACAATGGTTCAAATAAGTGTTGAAGGTGTGTCCAGGCATGCATCTAATCTACCAATATACTGTGTCCTGTGTAACCACTATCTTTATAGCCTCTCAGACCAGTTTGTTAAAAAATCATCAATTTAATCACAAAACTAATCACACAATAGTTTATAAAAATATATCATTATTCACCTAAGAAAAGATGTGTGGTGCTTTTAAAAGTCAGTAGTAAACAAACTCCAACAAAGTTTTCCAATGCTGCAGGTAAATATTTTACCATTTTTCTTGTAAAACTGAGATGAACTCTTTCCTTATGAAAAAAAAAAACATCAAAGGATGAATGTGCTATTATTTATTTTATCATAAGGTCTTGTGAACGGTTGTTTTCTTGCTAAGAAATCTCTGGTGTGACCTTCATGAAAGAGCCTCCGGCTTATAGTCCCCAAGCAATGCTCCAGTCTGACGAGTGTGCGTGTGTGTGTGTGTGTGTGTGTGTGTGTGTGTGTGTGTGTGTGTGTGTGTGTGTGTGTTGTCTACCTGCCGTTGTTCAGCCCTCCTGCTTCTGACCCCTGAGCTGAATGTGTTATTTTTAGCACTATTTGGAGCTGATTATGCAGCTGCAGTCCCTTCTGGACACTAACAAGGTGTTGGGGCAGCAGCTGAGGGCTGCCTGGAAGACCTTCATGTGTTGGCAGCTAGAGAGGAACTGCAGGATGTTCTGACAAGGCCAGACTGGAGCTACACGGTACTCTTGTCTGTGCGCTGATACATCTGTTCAGTAAGTACAGAAAAAACACACATTCTGCCAAAATCAGAGTTGTTGTTTTTTTTTTTTTTTTGCTGAAAAAATTTCATGAGGAAGCCAGATGACTCAGCTTCTAGTACGTCCATTAGTGATTTAATTAGACTCTATGATTGAATGTGAATAATAGATGGTGCCGTAGCTTGATTAAAGAGTGTCATTTTCATTAATCAAATTCTGCATAATGATCACAAGTTTTAATAATGATAAAACTAGATGATGGCACCAGGAAAACTTGTACGAGGTTCTCATCAGTCTTTGTGATCAAAGCTTTGTTCTAAACACCGGATGTTGTGGGAAATCGGACAATGACTGAATTCATAACATCTGGTGTTTCTCTGGGTTTTTCTCCCCTCATCAGCAATCTGTCTGTATATGAGAGCAAGCTTAATTTGTTCCAAAGAACCTCTTGAACCATCGTTTCTCTGGGGGGGAGAGAAATCATGTTATTCTGTAGAACAGAACAGATACTTAGCACAAAAAGTAAGGAAAGTTGTAATTGGTAAATTATTTCTTGTAACCGTGCTTCATGGCAATAAATCGTTACAACAAAGAAATATACTTACGCAAATTTCCTTCCTTTTTCTGCTAAACGGGTATTTTTTTGTCTACTTGTCCCATAGTATCCTGCTGCTGCTGACTCAGACCTTATTACAGCATACTGTGTGTTAACTCACCACATTAAAAACACTTAATCACCTAAAGATTTTGCCCCCATTTTCCCTGGTCTGTAGTGTTAGCAAAATATCTCATTAACCACTGGATCAGTTTTAATGTAAATTTGAACAAAAGTATTATTAGATGCAGTGGAGGGCACAGTTCCCCTAAAGCCCTAATAGGGGAACTAATTTCCTGATTAGTGTTTTAGGTCTTTTGATAATTTTAGAATTTATTAGTGGATTAGCATTAGCTAAATTTATAGACTAAATTTAGAAGCACTGAGGTCTTTAAATGTTATTGATCAATGTTAATGTTAACAGCTGAGGGTGAAAGCTCTCACACATATTGTTCATTTGTGTGTCACTTATCCACTAGGTCAGTGTTTCCCAAAGTTGGGGTTGGGACCCAAAGTGGGGTCCCGAAACATCAAGGTGGGGTCCTGAAAAGATTTTCTGAATTACTTACATTTTTGCCTTAGTTGTTACAAATGAGTGAGGTTAGTATATTTGCACTTTGGTTTCCAAAGTTGGGCTTGGGACCCAATTATGGGCCATGAAGCACCTTGGATAATCTCCAGAAATCAATTTAAAGGATAATAAAATAATTGCTGATGTAATATTTTCCCTATAACTATTCCAAAAACACAAAATAAGTAAAAAACAAGTATTTATATTTGTGTATAAGCTGTTTAGACTGTCAAAAAGCCTGTGTTTTTAGGGTTATTAACAAAGTTCATGTACTCAGACCAGTAATATTTGGGGTCACAAGTTTTTGCCATGGATATTTTTTAGGTCAGAAGACAAAAAGTTTGGGAACCACTGCACTAGGTGACATAGTAACCACATGTGAACCCAAATATGGCTGTGGAATACCAATGATAAGTATTGAGAGAACAACATGACAATATGTGACTCGTTGTCTGTTGAAGCATGGTCATGGGTTGATTGGGTTATTTTAGTGCTTTAGAATTAGCTTTTGCTAAAATTTTCAGTATGTTAGTGCTTTAGAATTAGGGGACTTAAATATTTGAGTTAGTGTTTTAGGGTTGGTGGAACTAATTTTTAGATTAGTGCTGCCCACCACTGATTAGATGCATCTAAGTCATGATGGTCACCAAAGCCAATTGAAGCAATGCCTGAACCCGATGGTGGGAGGTGGAGTTTGCTGTAGGGTTTGTGTTTTTCCGGTCAGTTGAAATTACATCATGGTTTCATATGGCTTTATACAAGTTATCTGGTTCTACCATTTTCTTAAAACTGATGTTCAAAAACACATCCTGTAAATGAAGTTTCCATCCATCCATTTTCTTCTGCTTATCCGGGGTCAAGTCGTGAGGCCAGCAGCCTAAGCAAAGAAACCCAGACTTCCCTCTCCCCAGCCACTTGGACCAGCTCCTCTGGGGAAATCCCGAGGCATTCCCAGGACAGCTGAGAAGCATAGTCCCTCCAGCGTGTCCTGGGTCTTCCTCTGGGCCTCCTCCCAGTGGGACGTGCCCAGAACACCTCACCAGGGAGGTGTTCAGGAGGCATCCTAACCAGATGCCCGAGCCACCTCAACTGGCTCCTCTCGACGTGGAGGAGCAGCGGCTCTAATCTGAGTCCCTCCAAGATGACCCAGACACCTGGGAAGGAAACTCATTAAGGCTGCTTATGTCCGCAATCTCGTTCTTTCGGTCACTACCGAAAGCTTGTGACCATAGATGAGGGTTTGAACGTAAACAGACTAATAAATCAGTAAAGCGCCCACATCACTGCAGACGCAGCACCAATCCACCTGTCGATCTCCCGCTCCATTCTTCCCTCATTTGTGAACAAGATCCCAAGATACTTAAACTCCTCCACTTGGGCAGGATCTCTTCTCTGACCCTGATCGCATGCTACTCTTTTCCGTCTCAAGACCATGGTCTCAGATTTGGAGGCACTGATCCTCATCCTGGCCACTTCACACTCAGCTGCGAACCGCTCCATTGAGAGCTGGAGATCACGATCTGATGAAGCCAATAGGAATGAAGCTTTTGAAGTAAATAATGACATAACCACTTTTTTGAAATGTGCAAAGTTGCACATTTTTTTATCAGTATTTGAAAATATTCAACAATTAAAGTTAAAACAAACAGTAAGAAGTAATAATCAGCAAATAATTAGACTTCAAATCAGAAATTTTAATTTTTTTTTCTTTTTGTACTGAAACACCTGAGGGAAGCAAATCAAGAGAACCAAGAAGAAAAAAAGCCACTGAAATTTTAGTAAAAAAAAAAAAATAAATAAAAGACACAAAATAAAGTCGAGACAAATTCATACGGGTGACACTCGCTCCGTCTGTATATACATCACATTCACTCCACAACTGTGCCGAAGAGCATCGATCAAAAGAACAGTAATTCAAAATAAAAGCTCGTCTCTGCAGTCGAACAGCCTGCATCACGTGAAGGCAGAAAAAAAAAGCTCCCAACAGAAACCAGCAGACACCTCTGTTTCCCTTTATGTTTGTTTTACAGTGACAGAACAGAGAGCACTCCAATTTCATGTGAAAGGCTGGGAGAACTGTTGACAAAAATTGTCCGAGCATAAAGTGGATCCACAAACCAACATTATTATTTTTAATGGTCCCTGGATGCATAAGACAGAGCCACTTTCCTGACATCTCTGACCTTTAAAAAAATATCATTCAAACTTGTTTCAGAAAGAAACATGACATCAGAATAGTTTAGAAGTGGATTTGAGTCACATTTCATGTTTGGCTGTACATTATTTAAGCTCTATTATATATTTCAGCCTTTCTTTCAAATTTCACCAGAAACACTTTGTTAAAAGGAGGAAAATAGAAATACGAGGAAACCTTTGGCCAAAGAGTGTATTCACAAAGGAAAACCAGAAACTAGAAGAGTTAAGGTAATTAAAGACAAAACTAAGGAGCAGAACCGCAGTGGTTTTCTAGATTTTTTTCACTCTTTCTGAAAATATGGCCCGTAGTTCAAACCTCCTCCCATACATTTGGGTTTGTAAGTTATACTGGTTTCCTCACAGAGGAAAGAAGGAAAGAAGAAAAAGGTATCTTTTCATGAAAGTCATGTTTGTCTTGATTGTCCACAAAAAAAAAAGTGCCAGCAGGAAGCAACCCTGGCGAAAGAATATACAATCACAGCATAAAACAACAACATCCTTTCCTGCAAAGGAATTGAGTCAATAACACACTCCTGAAAAGACTCTGAACCTGCGCTGGCCTTGTGTTTGCAATCTTTATCCGAGTCTGTGCACATTTGTGTTGGGAACTGTCTCTTGCTGTTCGGTGGTCCCTTTTATTCAGAAACTGTCTTTTCTTCTGTTGCTTCGTCCTGCAGGCAGCTCTTGCGGATGATGGGCAGCGGATGGGCTTCTGTGTTAAAGACCCAGTCTTCAAAAGAGAGCAGGTCGTCATCAGAGAAGAGCAGGTACAGATACCTGTGCAAACGAGAAATGCATCAGTTAACGCAAAAAAACAAACCTGAAGCCATTCTTCTGAGTGGTGAGTATAACGCCACACGACAGCCGGTTTGCTTAGCTGAGATTAAAGATCTATTAAAGTGTTCCTGGGCGTTTGTTCTGCAAGAAGCTGCTTCAAAGATTTGCCTCGTACTTCGGCAGCATTTGCATTTTCAGTAGTGTTTTTGTAGCTGATCCATCTTTTCAGCCTCTTAACTCTGACCTGCAGTTTATTAGAAAACCAGTGAGATGAACCATTGATGTGCTCAAATAGAATTTGTTCCCAAATATTAGATACAGAACATAAACTAAAAAACAAGATTTATACTTCAGAATCTGTTTCAAGTATTTGCTGAATTTTCCCCATGTTTAAGCTCATAGTTTCTTGGATCTGCTGCTGCTTCTTTTAGTTCCCACATTTTTTAAAGACATTGTACAGGATGCTGACTGAGACAAGTCAAGTTTTTAAAATGTTTAAAAATGACTTTTATAGGTCTGTCATATTTATTTTTAGGGCATTTTAAAATACATCTAAAAAGGTGATATGTCACTGGGCTGTGAATAGTTGGTGAACAGTGTTTGCAATGGGGTCTCCATACTTTGCAGGGGTGCACTGTGCTCCACATAATCTACATTAGGCTGTTAAAATTCAGCGAAACGCCCGCGTGCCGTTTTTGTTTCGTTTTATTTGTAATGTCATTTCTGCGTTTCTGTTCATCATGTGTCCGTGTGCAATGCATCAAAATTTACATCTAGGCCCTCCTCTTTCGATTGACACCTCATTTGACCAACTGGGTTCAAGTGTCGGCTGTCCAGAGACAATAATATACAGTATCAGAAATGACCAACTTCCGGTTTCCGTCACCTGGGCTAGATTGACTGTAGATTCGGCCAGTCAGCTCCGAGCATTGTTCTGATGCCACATCTGTGTAGCCAATCACCGTACCTTTCATTTGGTATATATATTGAGGGGGTGGGAACTTTGTTCAGTGATGGACGAGGTTAATACTGAAGAGGTCGCCATATTTAGGCAGTATTGCTAGGCTAACGAAGGAAGCTACGCGCACAGGAAAACGTTTTTTTCCCCATCGTTTTTTGGCCAGTTAGCTGACTAAACATGCTAATAAGATGAAAACATATTTGTTATTAAGTGTTTCGAGTGCTTCAAGATATGGAAGAGTGATTTTTGTGGCCAGGAGAAGTAAAAATAATTGGATAAAAAGACTACCGGTCGGCCATTTTGAATCGCTAATTTCATCATATTTGAGGACAAATATGCATCAAATATGAGTGAAAAACAATATTTTTTTCGCTGCTGTTGGTTTTATAAGCTGTGTGCAATGTTAATGCTTTGAAAGAAATAAGGATATATTTGTTTATTCATGTGGTTTGGCTGGTTATTGGTGGAAATTTGGCTGAATGTGCTCCAGTTGGTCTAAATATTTCTGAATATTAATACATATTTTTTAAATTTAATCAGGCTGTGAGTAAATATGGATGGTATGTGTTTTGTGGGGGTTTTATCTTTAATTTGAGCCCAGAGTGAAGTCCCTGTGTTGAAGCATTTAGAAATCACAGTGTTTTATTCAAAGTGTACAGTCTGGACATAGTGTACAGGTGTACAAATATGCAAATGAGACATGCTGGATTGTACTATGTCTCAAATATTCATATTTTATGCTACTGTTACCACATTTGAACTGGTAATATTTGAGAATTAATATTTTAGCCCAGTAAAATTTGTTTGACAATATCTCATTCTCTTCATATTCTGTGATACTTTATAAATAAAAAAATGAAAATTTAGGGAGAAAAATGTCTTGATTTTTGTGTATTTTACTTCAATATACTAAATACTAGTTACAGTTACAAAGAATATGACTGCTGAAGTTACAAAATCAGATTATTTGCTTTAAAAAGAGACCAAGCTTGTGAATTTACTCTAAAGGGTTCAAAAGCAATACTTCATTTAATTTGTGTCTACTTTTTAAGGCATTTTGTATTCATTTTGTATTGCAGCTTCCCTGTTGACCACATCCACCAGAACTTTACTTGGAAGAGCTAAATCATTCACCATCAGGGGTTTTCTTTTAGTCACGATTAGTCATTTTATTTTTAAAGAGAATAAAACCAAAATGCTGACATGAACAACTCCCCACTTAAAAAAAAAAATCAGATTTTGTCACTTACATGATACCGCGTGGCTCTTGGGTTTGTGTAACTTAATAACCCAAGAATGAGAGCAGGTAGAATTGAAATGTCTTTTCAGTGCTCTTATTTCTTTTATGGGTGAATAAGTATCCTGTTCAAAAGCGTGCTTAGAATCCTCTATGAAGCAGAGACCAAGTCTGTTTCATTCAAAGCACGACCACTTCGTGGGCAGAACAGATAACAGGTACAGATGAATCTCTGGCGTTCACTATTATCACTTTCATGGTTATACAGAGGTGGTGGGTTGTGGAAGCCGATTTTAAATTTTTTTCTCTCTCACCAGTGGGTTGCTGAAGAGAATGCGGGACTTACTTTAGTGTCTCTGAGAGGAAGAAGCTCTGCTGCATGTTGTCGTGGCTCACGGTCAGGGTGTAGACGTCACGGATCCCAGAGAAGCCGGACTCGACCCTGCAGTGCTGCTCCAGTGCCTGACAGGAAGTGCAGAGGGAAACGCTRCAGGTCTTATCGTACAAACTCAGTTAGTATTTCATTTGTTGCATAAAGTTTATTTAGAGATTTAGCACACTTGACCCAAACCCTCTTCAGCCAATAAATGTCTGTGAGAGATAAAACATGTCAAGTATTTCACCCAGCTGGACACCAGAAGAGCAAATAATGTTAAATCTGACGAGGCTGAAAGGAGAGTGGCTGAGCTAACCGAGCGGATTAGCTCATTATTACCGCAGCTACAAAGGGCTGGCTTATACGTGCTAATTAACAAAGGCCCTGACGTGTTAATGCTTGATGTTCCTGAGCAGAAGTGTTATTCACCGCTTCCAACCTTTGTGCCTGATAATTACAGGCCTGTCAAACTCGTCAGCCTGAATTCTCCTCCACTATGTGTTGTGTGTGTGCGTGTGCACATGTTAAATTAATGCTAACTCGCTCATGCCAGTCCTCTCCAGTTTACCACCATTATTGTCCTGTCTATCGCCACGCTAATAATTGTGATTCCTGCTCAGAGTTAATCTTTTTGGTAGTAGAACTGCCTGATCCACCAGTTAATGTAAAAGTGCCACACGGTGTCAGAAGATGACTAAAGCCTAATCGAGAATGTTAAAACTTAAAAGGTGAGTGCATAACTTGGAAGATTAGAATCTAGGTTATTAATATTATATTATATTTATCTCTGATTTATCTATTTATTTTCTGATGCATCAGAAAATTACTCACTGSTTGGCATTAGTACTTACATATTTTTTAAATCAAAATATGTTCTAGTCTACAAGGAAAACTGCATATTTTGGTTTATCACCATAATATGCTCTTTGTGTTCCGTTACTGCGTTTTGACTCACGTTTGCTTCAAAAAACTCACACTCTGAAATTTGAACAGAAAAGAGAAATGTAATCTATTGAGATAAGTTTAAAAAATAATTTCTCTGAGTAAACTAAAATAAATTCTAATGGTTCTTTTACTTTCAAGCCAACAAACTAAATGGGGAACTATAAACAAACCATTAATTTCTGTMTTTTTCTTTAGGTTTATGCCACAAAGCAAGGGATACTTTTTTATTTCAAGCCTCAAAATTCTTTACATTTCAAAATGTTTTTAGATGAGCCAAATCAAAATCTGGGTTACAWGCTGTACAGAAGCCATTTTAACCTTTTAAAGTAAGCATATAGTGCTTTTAAATCCTTCCTTTTCACACAACTTTATAAAGGTGAACTACAATGCTTTGGTTTGAATTCCTCCTTTTTGTAACTTCACCAGCCCCTCTTTCACTACTTTTCTGGTGTGTGTCTCAAAGCAGCTGGATTTGATGTTGTTCCTTTATGATACTTCAAGCCCCGCCCCCTCCTGCTTCAAGACTGGTCCACTCCGGTTTTGAGAGAAGGGGTTACGTTTTCTAGTGATGCAGAAACGTTTTATTCCCTTMGCCAAGGGAGGAGGTAATGTTTTCGGTCACGTATGTCTGTCTGTCTGTGGACAAAATTACTCAAACACTTATGGATGGATTTTCATGAAATTTTCACCACAAATGGGTACTGGCCAAAGGAAAACACCATTAAATTTTGGTGATGAACAGGATCACGATCCCGACACACGAACAGCCAATCAGCTTCAAGGAAGATGACAGACTTCCAATCACATCAGATTGTTTGTAGACGGGTCAACCCCCCCACTGTACACATCCAATGGGATTGCTTGAAGCAGTGTAGGCGACCAATCACAGAGGCGCATGGAAATAAAACTTTAGACCGAATTGTTTTTAAATCGAAAAACTTACTGTTTGAAGTTACTTTAATGTAACAACAGATCATTTTCATAATACATCGGCCTGCGCTTCCAAACAATTTTGTATTATGTGTTTACGTTTTTGGACTTTTTTCCCCCCACCTGTATCGGAAAGGCAAGCTAGCTAACTCACCACCCCCCGGTTCAGGTCTGTTATCCGACAGATAACACTAAGGTTTTCTTACAATTATGTTTATTCTGTTTTTTATGGCTAAATGTTTTCTTTTTTCTGATGCTGTTCCACTCCTTCTGCTGCATGTAATTTATTACGTGTTTAGTCATTGGAAAGCACTTGTACACAAACACACATATGACTAAAAATGTCATTAATCACACACAAAACAAACACACACACTCACACACAAACATACGGCCTTGGCAGAGGTTTGCGCTCTCCGAGAGCTTCTAGTTTACAATTAAATTAAAAGATGTCAACAGTAGACTTGTCCATCCAGCCTTACATGCTGGAGCCAGAGTCTGACCCAGAACCAGAGGAGAATTAAGACAAGGGAATTGTATAGCTGGTAAGTCCAAACCTCATATGGTAATTCCGTCACAGATTATTTGATGTAATAGTTCAGAAAACATCATWGAAAGTAGAGAAAACTGAACAGGCTGAAAAATATGAACCAAACAGAATATAAAGATATCTTTGTAGCACCAGGAGAGACTAAATTCAACTTTTCTGCCTTTTAGAGACTCCAAATCYACAACAAAATGTCTTTAACAGCTAAAAATGTGGATTTTTCATGATATGTCCACTTGCTCTCAATGTTGTGTAACCCAAGTGCTAAATGAGTGATCTCACCTCAACAGCCTCCCATCCCCAGTCTCTGTACTTCGGGTCGTGGGTCAGTCTCCACATGTACATGTAGCTCTCGATGACTTCTGGTCGCAGGATGTAATATCTGTCGCTCAGCCTGGTCGCTGTGGCTTCGGCTCCACTGTCGAACCTGAAGGCTTCRGGGCCGAGCTTAGTGGCTGACAGAAATACAGACAACAAAAATGATTACTTCTTTTTATTCATTTCTTTACTGGGGGTTAGGGGGTAATTTTAAAACAGTTTTTAATGAAATAAATGTATTTTTATAGTCATAAAAACTGAATCATCAACTGTACAGGATCTTTYCAGGGAACTTTCAGCTYGTCTGCTGTACTTGGTAAAATAYATCTTTCAGCTTTCTTGCCAACATTTWGATACTATTTCTTTTTAAAATAAGTTTGGACGCAGCTGGTACTGTGTCGGCTAAAGATCTGCGCACCCTGGTTAAAATTCTGCAAAGAAATGGAAAAGCTACTTGAACAAAAAGAAGCTGGTGTCTCAGACAGCAGGGCTTCTTTCAGCTGGCTGATTACAGCACTTTATGGTTTACAGTTTTTGGCAAACCYACAGGATACTTTATTCATCAGTCACTGTATAAAAATGCAATGAGAAAAATATGACAACCTGATGGACAATAGGCTATTAAAGCAGAGCCCCCACCCAGAAATGACAAAAATTTCAGWAGTAGTTTCAGAACAGTCTTTTACCAAACGTAAAAAAAAGAAGAAGAAGAAAAAAGAAAACAAATGAAGCAACTCCAGGAGGGGATCTTCTTCGAGATTGTCTAGAGTTGTAAAAGTATTTACTAATATGGATGCTACAGATGTTCATCCCATAACTTTTGCAGTGTAGCCTCTCAAACACCTTGTTAGTTTAACTAGCTATTATAAAAAACCCTCCTTTATTGACTCTGATTTTTCTCAAGTTATTGACTTTGGTTCTGATTTACTAACTCTGTTCAAGGCTGAGATCCTTTATATCTGTACTAATGATTCCCAAGTTGAGGCTAAAAAGGAGTGAACAAGTCCAGAAATTAGAGCTTCTCTGCTCTGTCCCAACCTTCCAGACAAGATTAGACAGGTTAACAGTTGTATTAAACTCTGCATTAACCCTCCGTTTTGACCCAAGGGCAGCTTGTTAACTCTGTCACATCCCAGTAAAACTCTTAACTTACACAAAGCTGTTTTGGACCACGCCACAGAAGCAGAGCAGAGTTTTCGCTAACATTTTTTCAGGGTTCCACAAAACGGCAATCCAAATCCAACTATGAKATATAATCTGTCCACTAAGACTTTTGTCTGCATCCCTTGGAAAAAGGACAGATGGCATCTTTACCAGATGCCAAAACCACAGTTTCTACTCTGAGCCTTCTCAAATAGCCTCTCATCCTGCTTCAAAAGGAGGCTCAATTTTGACTGCCGCTATTCGGGATCTTATCTTTAGCAAGTGTCTGTTGGTGAGGGTTGAAATGTAGATCAACGGGTAAACCGACATCTTTGTTTTGTTTGGCTCAGCTCTCTCCATGATGACAGATCAGTAGAGAGTTTCAATCACTGCATCTGGCTAAAACTCCCAGAGTTACCCTTAGATTCTGAACGACCCCTTGGCCATTTTTATCACATTTTGGCATTCACTGATGCTATACATCACTGTGTGACAGCTACTTTAGGCATCTTTTTTGCAGTTTTCAGCAGCTACATAGGAAAAATGCAGGGGGAAAAGTGTATTTATAACAGCAGGTCATTTTGGTATGAATAAATGTGAATATGCAGAACAGGTGGGCAGGTTTATGGGGTTAGGGTAAACGTTAATGACGTGGTGTGAAACAGGATTTACCATGAAACTCCCTGAGCTGAAGCAGCAGCTCATTTCCAACCAGTAAAACTTCACTGTTTTTGTTTTTTCTTGCAGCTGCACCCTTCCGCAGGGTTCGCCTGATGCAACTTGAGCTCAAACCTGTAGCCTCAGGATTACAAGACTGCTGTTTTACAGCCTGGCTCAAAGACCATAATGGGAAAAAAAGAGGGAAGAACACAAAAATTTAAAAAGGGATTTTTCTTTTAACCAAACCCTTAAAAAGGAAACATAATGAGACAAAAATGGGGGAAGACCTCTCTGAAAGAGGTACTCTGCCAGCTGCCCCAGTTCCCAGTTAACTCCCAGTCGCCTGAAAGACCCGAAAAACACACAAGGTGTGCGAGTAGGGCCTGGGGTCTTAACAGCAGCACTGACCCCTGCGCTGCTGTAAGCATGAAAACTTTATTCTGTCACTAGTATGTGCTTCCTTATGGTTTATGTTGTCTAAACGGTAATCTAAACTGCTGGAGAATTTTGAGCAAACAAACTCCAAACTCTCAGCAAAAGTTGATAAARGTTTCTCCAACCTTGCATCACTATAAAAGTTGGTTAGGGTTTGTTTGCTTCTTGGACAACTGAACAGCTACTCTGAGGCTAAATTCATTTTTAGCTCATACTACAATATCTTCTTACCAACCTTAGTTTATGCAGTGTACTATATATACAGTATACACTGCATAAAGTATTTATATAGCAGGGGTCTCCAACAGTTTTTTTCCTTAAGAGCTATTTTCATAAAATGAAATTGTCTAAGAGCTACTTTTTGCAACATTTAATTTTAAACCATTGGAATAAGCTTGTTTTACACAAAAAAMATTTCTTCAATTCACATGAAACCCCTACAAAAACACTGAATTAACATGAATGTGCTTTTTGTGTTCATCCATTCATATTACAGTGTATTTCACACTACTAACTTAGGGGTTTACCCACGACAGATTTGTGCACAAATAAGATTGGGTGATGGGTCTCTGATTTTTCCCCCCGTATTGTAGATTCCAGCAGGGAGAAACCCCAAGCAGTGACATATACCACAGTGGGAGAAGTTACCCAGGAGCTCAGCACAGTGTGTGTCAAGGGTTTATGAAAAGTGTGTGCGAAAATGAATGCCAAACAAACCACGTAACCAAACGTCACCTGCCGATCGACCATACTGAGCCCTAAACTGTTTGATTGACAACTAAGGGGAAGGGACATCTTTAGACTGATTGGAATTAAATGAAAGTTTGTTTGGCCAGTTTTTCCTAATTTTTGATCAACACTGAAGAGTTACTTTAAATGAGTTCACGAGGTACTGGTTGGAGACCCCTGATATATAGTAAATGGTAAATGGACTGTACTTGTATAGTGCCTTTCTAYCCAAACAGGACGCTCAAAGCGCTTCGTATTACAGTCTTGTGTCCTCATTTACCCATTCACACAGCACTCTATTAGATCTCCTATGAAGCTAACATGTACAATCAACTATGGAGACTAATCAGTGCCAATCTCATTCATACACTGATGGGACAYACGTCAGAGGCATTGGGGTTAAGTATCTTGCCCAAGGACACAACAACTGAGACAGCTGGACGGGGTATCGARCCGATGACCTTCCGGTTCCRGGATGACTCCCCTAACCACTCTGCCACAGCAGCCCCCTAGTAATGCATATAGCATGTTTAAAACTCATCAAAATTCAATTCTGGGAAACTATCTTACAAATGTGGATAGCAGGTGATTGGAAATCCTCAAAATGGTCAATCAAATGGTTGCAGATTTGAACTGTCGCAACTAGGCCTGTCATGATAAGCAATAAATCAGTTAATCACACAATAAATTGAAGTGAGGTTGATCGTTTTCCTACTTGTTTGACACCCTGTTTTCTAGTGTAGGGAGGAGTGGTCTCCAAACAATGTTATCGTTAATCGCAACAATTTCAGAGACATGTCCTGATGCATCTCAGTAATCCAGGTAAAAAAACAAAAGGAAAAAAAAATTGAATAGGTCCTCTGGACGGGTTCTTCTTTAATGAAACGTTTCGTCTGTTAACAATAGGTATTAATTAGGTGTTAACGATAGCCATGTGATGTGAGTATCAGTCACCTGTGAACGATAGCCA